AGATGCCTCGCTTATTATCTAACCACCCATGCGCGTTGGGGTATAGCTATTGCCCTATGCTCAGATACCCATACAATGGGTATTGTGCTCACGGCACACAATAAAAGGCGGTCTCGTGCCTTCGTTGCACTTAAAAAATACATAGAGTGAATGACGGCTTATGTTTTGCAAGCTTGTAAATATTATACCATAGTATTTTATCGGCTTAGAGAAAATAAAAATTAATAAAATTAAACAAGACTTGTTGTGATTTGATTTTAGTTTCATTTGTGTGTGTATGTGTGTGTGTGTGTGTGTGTGTGTGTGTGTGTATGTGTATATGTGAGTCTCAAAATAAAAGTGTAAAATGTCAACGCCAGGACAACAAGTCATAATCAAAATGGACTAATTCAATACACATCTATGAAAAGTAAAAAATTATAACTTATTACAAGTATAAGTGCACAACCATTTTGATAAAAGCTTTTAAGCAAACCTTTCAGTAAATTTAATTGTAGGTACAGCTTTTCTTCTAAACGACATCAGTTGGATTAATATATGCTAGACCCGATTTATTTCTCACTGATTTGAGCTAAAATTTTGATCATAGGAAAATGGTCTTATTTTAAGAGGTTTCAGTGGGGTAGTGATGACTTTAAAAAAATAATAACAGAATATATAAATATAATATATACCATGCTGGTCATTATCTCACAAATCGTAGGGCCGAGTATTAATAAGACAATTTGAAAAAAAAAAAAAAAAAAAAATTATAATCATAACAATCAAAATATTTTTTCTAAGATTAACGCTGGTGTAACACGTATATTACTTATTAAACCAAACTGCTATTGATCATTTTAATTAGCTATTTAGTCTGACAATTATTTTTAATTAAGACAGCACTTTTATGTTAATAAAATAAACCTAGTTCTGAACCTACTTAAAACAATGTAAACACTTAAACAAAGAAGTTTACAAAACTTGCTATTTGAAACATAATCGACTTTTTGTTTACAAAATCAAAGACATCACCAAGGGTGTTTAGTGTAGTTTCTATGTTAAACCACTGACATCCTAAATTACTTTTTTAATTTTTAATGATAATTGATTAATATACTCTTTGATGGCTGACCCTGGTCACTATTTTAGAAAGAAATCGCTGTTTTAAAAACACTAGGAAAACTTAAAACGTCGTGAGACGCGCGCAAAGCACGCGACATGTATTTTTAAATGTAAACAAACGCGCACGGACACTTTTCCATTGTCGCTATGAAATACTTCTGAACCTACATAAAACAATGTAAATACTTAAACAAAGACGTTTACTAAACTTGAGATTTGAAACTTAACCGACGTTTTGTTTATAAAGACATCACCAAGGGTATTTAGTGTCATTTCTATGTTAAACCATTGGGATCCTACATTTACGGGACGCTACTCGTGGTTGTTAACAAGACTGTTCTAGAAAAATTCGACTCTCCTTTCGTTTCTATATTAGTTTTATTTAGTAAAGAGATAACTGTGCCCCTGACAATTATTCTGACCAAATCAATAGGAACTTATATAGTCATGAATGAATGGGGCAGCGTGGTAGAACTTACGACTGCTAACCCAAAAGTCCCGAGTTCGAATCCAGGTTCAAAGACAGTAGACTGTCCCCGAGTCTACCCAACTCTGAAGGGTACCTAACTTACGTTAGGGAAAGTAAGGCGGTTGGACATAGTGATGAACACACTATCACTTCATATACCGAGATCACAGAAAGAAAAAAAAAATTATTTGTTTATCTTCTATATTAATATTTTTTAGAAAATTATAAAAATATAAACAACATGTATTTAAATATATATATATAAGTGGTCGTCAAAATGATAGTTATAGAACCTTAAAGTTAAAAGGTGGTTAAAAAATAAATAAAAAAAAAAAACAAAACAAAAAAAAAACAATGAAAAACGTTGTGATTACAACATATGTAAATATTAAAAACCAACAAAGCAAACAGCCACAACAAATAAAGCAATCACACTTAACATAATTAACACGACTAGACGAAAAACAGAGGACAAAAACAGACTGATAGTAAATAGTAACGGCTATTTATAGATCAACTGTATGAGAAATATGGCCTATTGTAAAGCAAGCCTAGCTGAATAAATTATTTTTAATGACTATTTAAACATATCTTTCAAAAAAAAAAAATCGATACTCTATTGTTTGTCGTCGCGGCCGTAAAGGAGCGTCACGGAAGACAATAGGAGGAGGGGAACACCTGCTCCAGCTGGAGTATTTTACTATATAACATGTCTGCTCTGGCTGCTCAATATTTTACTATATAAACATGTCTGCACAAAAACGACTCAAAAGGGACCTACTATACTACTAAAATTACTTTTTTTCATATTTTATTCAGAGCTATTACAAATATCTTTTTCTTTTATTATTAAGGGGTCATCCATAAATAACGTCACGCTTTTTTGACGATTTTAACCTCCCCCCTCCCCTCCGTCACACGTCGTCACTAACAGCCAGACCCCCCCCCCTAAAATGACGTCACACCTCAGCCTACAACCCCCCCCCCCCCCTCAAAATTGCAGTTGAAATTTTTTTTTAAACATCGATATTTTTTACAAAATCTTGTATGAAATATGTCAAAAAGAGTATTTTAATCAATTCCTTTTATAATTTATTAAAACTGTTTTCGAAAACGCTAAATAACGTCTAAAATTCGTTTTCTAACATTTCTTGTCTATAAAGCAAAAGTGTGTCGTCGCACCATCTGAACCCCCCTCCCCCTCATCACACATCGTCACAAAATTACCGACCCCCCTCCCCCCTACGAGTGTGACGTCATTTATGGACGACCCCTAAGTAGGAATTGAAGATATTTTATGTAGAAAAAAATGTTTTTCACTATAATACAAATCTTACTATAAATTTAAATTTACTATAAAAATCAAAATTTAGTTAATAAAGGTGTAGCTTTTTTCCATATATGAATACGATTATAAATAGGATTAATGTGAAGTTATACTGGAATTCTTGAATACCGCAAGTTATAGTCACATTACCCCCCCCCCCCCCTCCCTCCACTGACGTACTGTGGGTAATCAAGTTGGTGGGAAAATAAAAAAAAAACCACAACGGGAGGTACAAAGACACAAATCTCCGGTCGGCCATAGCGTTGAGCAGATTTTTAGATCACAAATCATGACGGAGGCGTATTATCGGTGATTGATTGCCCATAACAATCGGCGATTCATCGTTCAGTACAATCAGCGATTGATCCTTCGGTAAAAACGGTGATTGATTCTTGTATATATTATAGGCTTGTAATTGTCGATCAAGGGATCAACGGAATCAAATCCTAGTTGTAGATGTCGCATAGACGTCTGGGAAAATTTTGTTAGTCTTAATGGCTAGTTTATAACGAGGCTTAGGTCACGTGGGTCATACAGAGGTCTATAGGCTTAGGTCATGTGGGTCATACTGAGGTCTATAGGCTTAGGGCATGTGGGTCATACTGAGGTCTATAGGCTTAGGGCATGTGGGTCATCATACTGAGGACTATAGGCTTAGGTCACGTGGATCATCATACAGAGGTCTATAGGCTTAGGTCATGTGGGTCATACTGAGGTCTATAGGCTTAGGGCATGTGGGTCATACTGAGGTCTATAGGCTTAGGTCACGTGGATCATCATACTGAGGTCTATAGGCTTAGGTCACATGGGTCTTACTGAGGTCTATAGGTTTAGGGCATAGGGTCACACTGAGGTCTATAGGTTTAGTTCACACGGGTCATACTGAGGTCTATAGGTTCAGGTCATAGGGTCATACTGAGGTCTATAGGTTTAGTTCACACGGGTCATACAGAGGTCTATAGGCTTAGGTCACGTGGGTCGTACTGATGTCTATAGGCTTAGGTCACGTGGGTCATACTGAGGTCTATAGGTTTAGTTCACACGGGTCATACTGAGGTCTATAGGCTTAGGTCACATGGGTCATACAGAGGTCTATAGGCTTAGGTCATGTGGGTCATACTGAGGTCTATAGGCTTAGGTCATGTGGGTCATACTGAGGTCTATAGGCTTAGGTCACGAGGGTCATACTGAGGTCTATAGGCTTAGGTCACATGGGTCATACAGAGGTCTATAGGCTTAGGTCACATGGGTCATACAGAGGTCTATAGGCTTAGGTCACATGGGTCATACAGAGGTCTATAGGCTTAGGTCATGTGGGTCATACTGAGGTCTATAGGCTTAGGTCATGTGGGTCATACTGAGGTCTATAGGCTTAGGTCACGAGGGTCATACTGAGGTCTATAGGCTTAGGTCACATGGGTCATACAGAGGTCTATAGGCTTAGGTCACATGGGTCATACAGAGGTCTATAGGCTTAGGTCACGTGGGTCATACAGAGGTCTATAGGCTTAGGTCACGTGAATCATACAGAGGTCTATAGGCTTAGGTCATGTGGGTCATACTGAGGTCTATAGGCTTAGGTCATGTGGGTCATACAGAGGTCTATAGGCATAGATCACGTGGGTCATACTGAGGTCTATAGGCTTAGGTCATGTGGGTCATATTGAGGTCTATAGGCTTAGGTCACGTGGGTCAGCATACTGAGGTGTATGTTTGAAAATAACATTGAAAATTACAAATTTAATGTGAATCATGATGTGAAAGTCTAGAGTTCGGATCCGTACGACGTCACTGCGTCAACTCAGCTCTGATGGACAAGGTACCAGTCAGGCGACTTGTGTTAGGGAAAGTAAAGGCGTCTGGGCATAGTGGTAACCACACTATCATTTCGTATGCCGTGGTTACTGAAACAGGTGAACTCTACATCACCTACCCGTGGACTGTAAATTCGAAAGGGTCTTTTACTTTTTTTTAAACTACGGTGCGATTTAGGCGTTTTAATTTGGGCGCTACACACCACTTCCCACATTGCTAGGTTTGTCTGCATAGCTCGGCCATTGACCTGTATCAAACACAACAACTCGTGCTATAAATAATCGGATGTTTTTCCCAATATCCCACAGAAACGCTAATAACGGAATCGGCTGTGTTGGATTAAATTCCCAGATTAAAGTCTGCCATACAACAGTAAGTTTATTTTCCTTTCATTACAATCATCAACAATCACACCTTTTAGGTAGCGACACCTAGACCAGTGGTTCTTAACCTATTTGGTATGTGTGTGTATGTGTGTGAGTACATTGTGTGTGTATATGTGTGAATAATGATATATGGAATAGCTTAGGCTTAGTCATGCAACTCTATTGTAAATAACAATATTTAAAGCACTGAAAAAAATAAATAAAAAAAACGTTTTAATAACAAGCTTTTATATTATAAAGCATTAAAAAGTAGAATATAGAGACACTACTATTTAGATAGCTACAAAGAAAAGCGTGGGTCTCTTCCTAAATATTAGTCAAGGTATCCAACAGATACTAAAGTGACCCACGATTTTCTTCATAGCTATTTAAATAGTTGTGTCTCGTTTATATTCTACTTTTTAGTACATTATAACATAAAAACTTGTTATTAAAACGTTTTTTATGAATTTTTTTAATGATAGAAATTTGTTGGATGCAACATTTAGCTTTGTTGTCACACTGAGTGTGTTTGTTTTGCATGTTGTGAGTGTTGAATTGTAAACATCGATCCAGCTAACACAGGTTGGAAATTATCAACTAGGGAACCAGGAACTATCGGACGGATATGTGTATCATTATTGTCAATATGTGCGTTATTGTTGTCAGTTTGTTTTTAAAATGTGTATATTGAAAGACAACTTTAAAAAAAAATAACAACAACAGAGTAATTTAAAATATGACACTGCGGAAGATTAATTTTTCTCTGGTTTTGAAAATTCGGATAATTCTAATTTTCCATTTAAATGCCAATATAGATCTAGATCAAGAATGGTTGTTAATGTAGCTTGCAATAAATGTTGAACAGTTAATTAGTTCAAGCAGTGACGTAACCAGGAGTTTTTCATGTGAGGGGTCCAACAAATGTTCTATATATATGTTTATATATATATATATATATATATATATATATATATATATATATATATATATATATATATATATATATATATATATATATATATATATATATACATATATATATAATGTGTACGGCTGTAATCCATCCAGTCGCCAGGGACAGGGTACAAATATGTCGCCAGGTTAAGGGTTAAGAAAGTAACAATTTTATTACAATACTCAAATTTCTATAGGAGGGGTGGGGAGGGGGGGATTGTTTCCAGTGAACCCCACCTAACCCCCCCCCCCCCTGTATACGCATTTGATTTCAAGACTCAACTACCACTCAACGTCTTGATAAACAAATATAATTTAAAACTTGAAATGAAATAGACTACCACAATCTGAACCTTCAATTTTTTTCCCCGTCTCCGCGAGGCGGCACGTTTGATTGTAGGGATCGTGTAGCTCTGACCTTTGACCTCCCGCCTCTGGTCTTTAGATTTACGAATCAACTCGAGTTTCCCCTCAGCCAGCCGACCCCGACGTAACGCTTTGATCCTGATGGCATAATGTCAATATTTATCGAACAGCGACAACACGCGATCCGTACCCGTCGCTGGGACATGCGCACACGGGCATGACATGGTGGATGACATTGTCTTAAGACACGTACAAATATCATCTACTTACATTTGAAAAGACACGTCACATTTAAATATCTTCTACTTACATTTGAATCCACGTCACATTTAAATATCTTCTACTTACATTTGAAAAGACACGTATAAATATCATCTACTTACATTTGAATCCACGTCACATTTAAATATCTTCTACTTACGTTTGAAAAGACACGATTAAATACCTTCTACTTACGTTCGAAAAGACACGTATAAATATCATCTACTTACATTTGAAAAGACACGTTTAAATACCTTCAACTTAAATTCGAAAAGACACATTTAAATACCTTCTATTTACATTTGAAAAGACACGTTTAAAAACCTTCTACTTACGTTCGAAAAGACACGTATAAATATCATCTACTTACATTTGAAAAGACACGTTTAAATACCTTCAGCTTACATTCGAAAAGACACATTTAAATACCTTCTATTTACATTTGAAAAGACACGTTTAAAAACCTTCTACTTACGTTCGAAAAGACACGTATAAATATCATCTACTTACATTTGAAAAGACACGTTTAAATACCTTCAACTTACATTCGAAAAGACACATTTAAATACCTTCTACTTACATTTGAAAAGACACGTTTAAAAACCTTCTACTTACGTTCGAAAAGACACGTATAAATATCATCTACTTACATTTGAAAAGACACGTTTAAATACCTTCAACTTACATTCGAAAAGACACATTTAAATACCTTCTACTTACATTTGAAAAGACACGTTTAAAAACCTTCTACTTACGTTATAAAAAACACATTTAAATACCTTCTACTTACATTTGAAAAAAAAAATACACTTTAAAATTGTTAATGCGAGAATCGAAACGTTTCTCTTTATTTACATAGTCTAAATTCTTACAAAATCACCGAATGAAATTACACTAACGGTACAGACATACAGGTTTAGCCAACAAAACACTACGTACTTAAGGTTTGGCCACACTAACTCTACAGAAAAGTTTGGCAACACCAACTCTACAGACAGAAAAGTTTGGCTCAGAGTTTCTTTCCCCGAAGAAAGTCTACCCCCCCCCCATCTCCGAACGAAATGGAAGTTATATAGAAAATATATACTTTTAACAGTGTCCGCCCCCCCCCCCCCCCCACCGGATATTTCAAGTGCCCCCCCCCCCCCGGAGAAAAAGTCTGGAAGAAACACTGGTTTGGCCACACTAACTCCATAGACAGAAAAGTTTGGCCACACCAACTCTACAGAAAAGTTTGGCCACACAAACTCTACAGACAGAAAAGTTTGGCCACACCAGCCCTACAAAACACGACATAAAATGTCGACTCTTCTAGTACCAGAACCCCGCGAGTTTAAGAATCTTTCACAAGTGATGTTTAGCCTCCCCCACACTATCCTCCCCTGCCCCAATCACCAGCCCCACCCACGCGTACATATCTAAGGTAGGCGGACACTAGGCTCATGTACCGCCTACACGTGTCTCGCCTACGGAAATGCCTGCCATAAACAGATCAACTAATTACACACACACCGACGTAAAATGTCAATGGACCGACCGCATATGCAATCGCCGCAAATAAAAAAATTGCGCAACGAGATTTATGTTGTAAAAGGTGCTCCTAGAGGTCAGGGTCAAAGGTTGGCTTCAAATAAATACTTGAATGGGATCGCTATACCCAGCTTGAATGGGATCGCCATATCCAGCTCCAATGGGTTCAACTCTGTGATGCTCACCCAGCCTTAACTTCAACTTCGTTTCTCTCTCAAATTATTATTCCCTCCCCTCTCCCTACCACAACCGTTACTTAATTTCGTACTTGTTGTATAAACCAGTCCCCCCCCCCTCACCTCCAATAACGCAGACTTTTTTTTCTACTTTCTCTCTCATCTTGTTACCCCCCCCCCCCCCCCCGCCCCCACAATACCTCAAAATGTCTGTCTATACCGCTTATTCTCCGCACCCCACCCCCCTCGCTAATTCTCTGTACTGTTGTTTAGTCGGTTCAGAGACGTAGTGACCCTTCCCGGCGCCCGGGGACAAACTTTTCGATTTGCAACCCCCCCCCCCTCAAACTTTCGATTTCCACCTCCCCTCGAGATTTCGATTTGCACCCCCCCCCCCCCAACCTTTCAATTATTTATTTTTCCAACCCATTTTGTCGCCCCCTAAGGTCGGCGCCCGGGGACATAAGTCCCCCCCCCCCCCCCCCCCCCTCGCTACGCTACTGAGTCGGTTAGTTAGTCTGTAGTACGTGGACTTTATATCACTGTCGGCGGGGTTGTATGAAGTTGAAGGTCACGGTTGTAAAATACCCAGCGTGCCTCTGGTGTGCAGCAATCTTTCATTGAGGTGCGGGGTGAGCATGTTAATGACCAACATGTAAACACAATCAGGTCCGTGCCGGGTTGACACATATTGTTAACATTTACCAGAGTGTGAAAGGGCGATTGGTTTGTAAACAAACGGCTAGACCAAACTGCCGACAGCTCAGCCGGCCGACCAGGGATAACAGCAGGTGCTACATGCGCTTTTTGGTGTTGGATAAAAAAATTTTTTTCTTCCAGTAATGTCAAAAAATATTAACACATTTTTTTCTTCTTGTCGTGTCAAATTTATTAATAAATTTTGTCTTCCTGTCATGTCAAGTTATTTAAAAGTTTTTAAATGAGTCACGTGACGTCGATCCAACTTTTTTCTTCCACTTTTTGATCTAATATCCAATGATATCATTGTTTTGTTAACATTATTTTTTGTCAACATTACTTTTTGTCAACATTACTTTTTGTCAATATTACTTTTTGTCAGCATTACGTTTTGTCAAAATTTCTTTTTGTCAACATTACTTTTTGTCAACATTATTTGACGGCTTCCTTTAACAGCTGTGTCATATACACGATCCCTAAGACAAGGTGTAAAGAACGGGGGGGGGGGGGAGGGGTGTCACTAAAAATGCTACGTAATATTAGGGGTGGAGATATATAGAAGTGATCGATAATCTTTTAAGGGGTGGTTAAAAATGTGAAAGTTTTAATTGGTTGGTAGCGTACGGAATGATCGACCAAAACTTTTCAATCATGTAGAAACAATGTATGCAGCTTAGGTAGTTATGTCTTGTACACAGTAATAAGACATCATCATTTGTGTCTTATACACAGTAATAAGACATCATCATTTGTGTCTTATACACAGTAATAAGACATCATCATTTGTGTCTTATACACAGTAATAAGACATCATCATTTGTGTCTTATACACAGTAATAAGACATCATCATTTGTGTCTTATACACAGTAATAAGACATCATCATTTGTGTCTTATACACAGTAATAAGACATCATCATTTGTGTCTTATACACAGTAATAAGACATCATCATTTGTGTCTTATACACAGTAATAAAATATCAACCGTTTTGTCTTGTACACGGCAATAAGACATCATTTGTGTCTTATTCACATCAATAATATATCAAAAGTTGTGTCTTGTACGTTGATCAGCAAGATGCGCAACGGAAAAAGCCGAAACGGAAAAAAGCGTTAACAGAAAAAAGTGCAAACCTACCTTTTTCCGTGTGCGCTTTTTTCTGTTTGCGCTTTTTTCTGTTTGCTTTTTTTCTGTTTGCTCTTTTTTTAGTATGCGCTTTATTTTTCTGTGTGCGCTTTTTCCGTTTGCACTTTTTTCTGTTTGCGCTTTTTTCCTTTGCGCTTTTTCTGGGAAATGTCTTGTACACGGCAATAGACATCAACAGGTTTGTCGTGTATACGACGCCTACAATAATTTATTTGCCAGCTTCCCACAGACCAAATTGCCAAACCGTATCAATCAAAACTATTCCGTGTGTGTATCTGGCCTGTGTGTGTATCTGGCCTGTGTGTGTATCTGGCCTGTGTGTGTATCTGGCCTGTGTGTGTATCTGACCTGTGTGTGTATCTGGCCTGTGTGTGTATCTGGCCTGTGTGTGTATCTGGCCTGTGTGTGTATCTGGCCTGTGTGTGTATCTGGCCTGTGTGTGTATCTGGCCTGTGTATCTGGCCTGTGTGTGTATCTGGCCTGTGTGTGTATCTGGCCTGTGTGTGTATCTGGCCTGTGTGTGTATCTGGCATGTGTGTGTATCTGGCCTGTGTGTGTATCTGGCCTGTGTGTGTATCTGGCCTGTGTGTGTATCTGGCCTGTGTGTGTATCTGGCCTGTGTGTGTATCTGGCCTGTGTGTGTATCTGGCATGTGTGTGTATCTGGCCTGTGTGTGTATCTGGCCTGTGTGTGTATCTGGCCTGTGTGTGTATCTGGCCTGTGTGTGTATCTGGCCTGTGTGTGTATCTGGCCTGTGTGTGTATCTGGCCAGTGTGTGTGTATCTGGCCTGTGTGTGTGTGTCTGGCCTGTGTGTGTATCTGGCCAGTGTGTGTGTGTCTGGCCTGTGTGTGTGTGTCTGGCCTGTGTGTGTATCTGGCCTGTGTGTGTATCTGGCCTGTGTGTGTATCTGGCCTGTGTGTGTATCTGGCCTGTGTGTGTGTGTCTGGCCTGTGTGTGTATCTGGCCCGTGTGTGTATCTGGCCTGTGTGTGTATCTGGCCTGTGTGTGTGTGTGTTTGGCCTGTGTGTGTATCTGGCCTGTGCGTGTATCTGGCCTGTGCGTGTATCTGGCCTGTGTGTGTATCTGGCCTGTGTGTGTATCTGGCCTGTGTGTGTATCTGGCCTGTGTGTGTATCTGGCCTGTGTGTGTATCTGGCCTGTGTGTGTATCTGGCCTGTGCGTGTATCTGGCCTGTGTTTGCCCGCTAGGAACTCTAATCAGACATTCCTGGCCTGGTGCCCCAAGCTTTGAAGACCTGGCCTGGTGCCCCAAGCTTTGAAGACCTGGCCTGGTGCTCCAAGCTTTGAAGACCTGGCCTGGCCCTGCATCTTTCTACCCAGCAGACGTGATGAGCCCCCCATGTTCTAGACATCACTTTGTCCCAAATGTCGCAGGGGACAACATGCCCCCCCCCCTGCTCGTCCACACGTTCTGCGGTGACGTCATCACGGCGGTGGTTGTTCGCACGTGGAAGGGCGTGTCCCTGTAATCCAGTGCCATATTCAACACCCAATCGGTTCCTGCTCAAGCCGGAAATCCTGTAACGATCGTGCTCTTGTCTGGTAGATCTGGTACCTGCTGTCACTGCTGCCACCTCTACTGTTCTATTGCAAGCTCTACGGCCTTTGTTTCTAAAGGGTTTGTTCTGTGTTACATGAAAGTTTTAGATTGTAACGGGGAGATGTTTCCCAAATCTCTAGTAACACGTTCTATTTATATGTAGATTCTAGATCATTCTGAGCAGGGTTCCTGATTTTCTAATTAATTTTAATCTCTGCTTTGATGTTCCCAAAAGTTCAGTGGTAGACATCATTACGTACAATAATTCAAGCTCAATACGATTTTCCTAGTACGCACAAGAAAAGGCTGTTCGATATTTATTTATCGTAATGTTACGTGGTTCGTGTGTGGGTGTTTGTTTGTTTGTGTGTGTGTGTGTGTGTGTGTAAGTTAGTGGAGGGGCTGGTAGAGATGTTTCTATCAATGTTAACAATATCAGGTGTGGGTGTTCTACGGAAATGTTAAAAATATCAGGCGTAGGTGGTCTACGGAAATATTAACAATATCCGAGATAGGTTGTCTACGGAAATATTAACATCAGAGATGGGTGGACTACGGAAATATTAACATAAGAGATGGGTGGTCTACGGAAATGTTAGCAATATCAGGTGTGGGTGGTCTACGGAAATATTAACATCATAGATGGGTGGTCTACGGAAATATTAACAATATCAGTTGTGGGTGGTCTACGGAAATATTAATAATCGTTTTGTGACGTAAGAAGTAGCACAGAACAAAGTGTACGCACATTCCCTGGTGGCTCATACAATGTGTACACAATCCCTGGCGGACCCTAATACGTGTACAAAAGGCCACATCAAGTTTCATGAGTCACTCACGCCCAAGCCAAACGCAACCAGTCATTCACTTACCCGCGGGTATGACCGCAGTGAGCTGTACTTGATGTACCTTTGCTCCTGTACATTTTTTATTTTACCTGCACCCCCAAGTGGGTTCAGTGACCTTGGTTTTATTAGGTCAAGGTGTTAAGCTGGCCTAATGGCCTTCATAGTTCAGGCAAGTGTGAGACGGTAAGGTGGTGTCAGGCCCTGAATGAATGGGTTGTCTAATGGTGCATGTCATGGGTGGTCACGCTAGGTCACGTGTCACCCGTTCATCTTGCTAATCTTGCCATAGTGATAAAGCGTTTCAATTCATTATTGGCTAAAGATAACAACGGGTTTTCTAAAACTAGTTATAAGTCACGTGCTCCTGGCAATCAGTGAATCGTTTTGTCCAAATATATTTTCTAAGTGACACCCCCATTATACTTAATAAACTTTACAACATCCTTCATTCGTTACAAAGCTTAAGCTACCTCCCAAGTTTTACCACACCAAAACTACCTCCTATGTTTTACCACGACGGATAGGCCTCCGATATTTCACCAAACCGCTAAAGTCCCCCATGTTAAAGTTACGTTAACCACACCAAATCCCGCAAGTCTCCTCGCTGCCAATACACCATGGTGTCTGTCCCTGGACCAAAGTTACCCAGCTCACATCCATGTCAGGCGTTTTCTCCTGGGGAGGGGGGTAGTTGAAACTTGGGGAGGGGGTAGGGGAGGGCGGACTTAAAATTTCCACGGGGGTAAAATAATTTCTATATTACGTAGATTTTGTTTTCTATTTTGTTCGGGAGAGGGGTCAGTAGACTTGCATCGGGGAGGTAGGGGGGGGGGGGCAAAACTCTGCCACCTCCTCTACTCCCACCCAGAAAAGATGCCTGAAAGAAATAATTACATCCCCGACGGTATGACGACCACTGTGAGACAGAGGGCGTGAAAAAAGAAAAATGTGTTCGGATGAAAGAAAGGAATCTTGTACCTGTCAACACCTATACCACTCATAGCTGTTCCCTTCCTCCATTCCCTTAGCTTTACCCAAATTCTCATCTATCTCTACCTCTTTGTATTATGATTTTTTCTCCTCTTCCCCTCCATAAGAACAATCAATAAATTCAGATCCACACTCTTTTATCCATCTAAACAGGTGATTTGTTTATTAAATAGCCGAGTGTTCAGTCATACAATTTTAAATGTGATGCACGTAACCATGGAGACGGTCACAAATAATCGTTGTGTTGTCGTGTCAACCATTGGAGTTCCCCAACTATTGATGCTCCATAACCACTGATGTTGCCCAACCATTAATGTTCCACAACCATTATTATTCCCCAACTATTGATGTTCCCCAACCATTAATGTTCCCCAACCACTGATGTTCCCCAACCATTGATGTTCCCCAACCACTGATGTTCCCCAACCACTGATGTTCCCCTGTGTCTGCAGGAATGTTCTGGAGACCAGCAGACCTCACGACAAGCCGCGTGTGCCCAGTACAGCATCCGGGCGTCTTCCGGCATCAGTTACACCTGGGAGCCGGCAGTACATCGTGAGTACATGTTGACTGTCTCAATACATCGTGAGTACATGTTGACTGTCTCAATACATCGTGAGTACATGTTGACTGTCTCAATACATCGTGAGTACATGTTGACTGTCTCAATACATCGTGAGTACATGTTGACTGTCTCAATACATCGTGAGTACATGTTGACTGTCTCAGTACATCGTGAGTACATGTTGACTGTCTCAATACATCGTGAGTACATGTTGACTGTCTCAATACATCGTGAGTACATGTTGACTGTCTCAATACATCGTGAATACATCTGCATGGTGATTGTCTTAATACGTGACATTACATCGTGAGTACATGTTGACTGTGACATTACATCGTGAGTACATGTTGACTGTCTCAATACGTGACATTACATCGTGAGTACATGTTGACGTGACATTACATCGTGAGTACATGTTGACTGTTGACATGACATTACATCGTGAGTACATGTTGACTGTCTCAATACGTGACATTACATCGTGAGTACATGTTGACTTTCTCAATACATGACATTACATCGTGAGTAGGGCCTACATGTTGACTGTCTCAATACGTGACATTACATCGTGAGTACATGTTGACTGTCTCAATACGTGACATTACATCGTGAGTACATGTTGACTTTCTCAATACATGACATTACATCGTGAGTAGGGCCTACATGTTGACTGTCTCAATACGTGGCATTACATCGTGAGTACATGTTGACTGTCTCAATACGTGACATTACATCGTGAGTACATGTTGACTGTCTCAATACATCGTGAGTACATGTTGACTGTCTCAATACGTGACATTACATCGTGAGTACATGTTGACTGTCTCAATACGTGACATTACATCGTGAGTACATGTTGACTGTCTTAATACGTGACATTACATCGTGAGTACATGTTGACTGTCTCAATACGTGACATTACATCGTGAGTACATGTTGACTGTCTCAATACGTGACATTACATCGTGAGTACATGTTGACTGTCTTAATACGTGACATTACATCGTGAGTACATGTTGACTGTCTCAATACGTGACATTACATCGTGAGTACATGTTGACTGTCTCAATACGTGACATTACATCGTGAGTACATGTTGACTGTCTCAATACGTGACATTACATCGTGAGTACATGTTGACTGTCTCAATACGTGACATTACATCGTGAGTACATGTTGACTGTCTCAATACGTGACATTACATCGTGAGTACATGTTGACTGTCTCAATACGTGGCATTACATCGTGAGTACATGTTGACTGTCTCAATACGTGACATTACATCGTGAGTACATGTTGACTGTCTCAATACGTGACATTACATCGAGAGTACATGTTGACTGTCTCAACACATCGTGAGTACATGTTGACTGTCTTAATACGTGACATTACATCGTGAGTGCATGTTGACTGTCTCAATACGTGACATTACATCGTGAGTACATGTTGCCTGTCTCAATACGTGACATTACATCGTGAGTACATCTGCATGTTGACGTGACATTACATCGTGAGTACATGTTGACTGTCTCTGTAAGTGACATTACATCGTGAGTGCATGTTGACTGTCTCAATACGTGACATTACATCGTGAGTGCATGTTGACTGTCTCAATACGTGTCATTACATCGTGAGTACATCTGCATGGTGACGTGACATTACATAGTGAGTACATGTTGACTGTCTCAATACGTGACATTACATCGTGAGTACATGTTGACTGTCTCAATACGTGGCATTTCACTATGACATGACAATATGTCACGTTTAACGCTAAATTGTAGAGCCACATTATGTCACGTTTGAAGTTAAACTCGAGGATCACTCCCAGTCCTGTTTAAGTTTAATCTGTGAGTCACGACATGTCACGTTGAACTTTAAACAACGGAGTCACGGCATGTCACGTTTAACGTTAAACAACGGAGTCACGGCATGTCACGTTTAACGTCAACAACGGAGTCACGGCATGTCACGTTTAACGTTAAACAACGGAGTCACGGCATGTCACGTTTAACGTTAAACAACGGAGTCAGGGCATGTCACGTTGAACGTTAAACAACGTAGTCAGGGCATGTCACGTTGAACGTTAAACAACAGAGTCACGGAACGTCACGTTTAACGCGAGTCAGCAGACATATGTGGGTGAGTACGTCCTGACGCCCGCGGCAGTGTGAGCACTCAAGAAACGGAAGTGCAGGATATCACGTGCAAGACCCCCGCTCTTCTAATGAAAATCTTATTTACGCCGAAATTTCCAGATCCTTCTTTCAGATAAAAAAGCGCGTAACTTATCTTAGTGCATGTATAAAAACTAAGTCGAGGAAACGCTACCTTTTAAAAAAAGTTTTTTCTGCTTATTTCGTCAACTTCACAAACACACCCACCTCTTAAGTAAATAAAATAATATAAATAAAAAGAAAAGAAGCGTTTTTTTTTTCTTTGTCAGAAAAGGTCATAATTTATTTGTCTAAAATTATTCCAGTTTTTTGTATTGTTCTTACCCTCACCTAAATACACGGAGAAAATGTCGCGCATGCGCGCTCATGTAGAAAGTAAAGTGATTTACCCCGCGTCCTAAAGTAGGTTGTAAATATGTACCACGTGATCTTGGCGACACTAACGGATATAGCCAGTGTTTCTTTCAGACTTTTTTCTCTGGGGTGACACTTGAAATTTTCGGGGGGGGGGGGGCGACTCTGGTAAAAGTATATATTTTCTATTTAAATTCTTTTTCGTTCGGGAAGTATGGGGGTAGATGTTTTTTTCGGGGGATGAGGGCTGAGACCCCCCCCCCCCCCACCCTCCGAAGAGATGCCTGAAAGAAACTCTGGATATAGCGAATGTAATAGAGTAGGCATACCATGGGTTTTTATATGCCATGTAATAGGTTAAGCTTACACTTACCATGTAATAGGTTAAGCTTACACATGCCATGTAATAGGTTAAGCTTACACATGCCATGTAATAGGTTAAGCTTACACATGCCATGTAATAGGTTCAGCTTACACATGCCATGTAATAGGTTAAGCTTACACATGCCATGTAATAGGTTCAGCTTACACATGCCATGTAATAGGTTAAGCTTACACATGCCATGTAATAGGTTCAGCTTACACATGCCATGTAATAGGTTCAGCTTACACATGCCATGTAATAGGTTCAGCTTACACATGCCATGTAATAGGTTAAGCTTACACATGCCATGTAATAGGTTAAGCTTACACATGCCATGTAATAGGTTCAGCTTACACATGCCATGTAATAGGTTCAGCTTACACATGCCATGTAATAGGTTCAGCTTACACATGCCATGTAATAGGTTAAGCTTACACATGCCATGTAATAGGTTCAGCTTACACATGCCATGTAATAAGTTAAGCTTACACATGCCATGTAATAGGTTCAGCTTACACATGCCATGTAATATTAGGCCTACTCACGCCTCCAGTGATGTAATACTCACGGCTTATTTACACGTGCGGGTGTGCAGCTGTATGCAGCACATGCGGCAAATTGCAGTGCACATGTTTGTCAACATCCTTACGTAAATAAGCTCGTCGGTGAGGAAAAGAAAAATACATCCATTCATAAAATATTGCTGGGCGTCAAAATGTTTAACATTAAGGGAAAATTCTGGTTCTAATGGACATTCTGTGACTTGTTTGTGTTAATTTAATGACATTCTTTAAAATATGCATGTTTTAAATGTATAAACAATTTCTCTTTACAAACAAAATATCTTACTTACAAAAATATTTCTTAAAGTATATTTGTAAATACAATGTTGTTAGTTTATTAGTGTAAATACAGTTGAATGGTACTGTATTTGTACAAATGCAGTTGTATGCTAGTTTGTGTGTGTGTGTGTGTGTGTGTGTGTGTGAATACAATAGTATGTTAGTGTATATGTCAGCACACACTTGTATATTAGTTTATGTGTCTTGTTTAAATAGGTGTGTCAGGTTTTATTTACTGCCAATTAGTTTAATTATCTACTTGTGTAACCAATCATCTGAGTTGAATATGGTCAACACGAAGGCCTAGTGTAAAATTATAACGGATAAAATATTTTGAGGTGTGTTTGTTTGACAAGACCCATAAATAATTCTCATTGGATTCTTCTCCAACAGCCACAGATCCATGTAGGTTGTCATGCCGGGCCATTGGCCACAACTTCTTGGCCAACCCACCTGGCCGTGTGGAGGATGGGGAATCGTGTGGCGACCTGTACTCCACTGCCGTCTGCATCAAAGGCGTCTGTCAGGTAATTACTCAGGCGGGAATGTAAGCTGGGGATTGTTGCGGTTGGTACTTTGGGAAATCTTCTCTTTGATTCAAGTTGGCAAAGAACAAAAATATTGTAATAAACGTAACTGAGGTATTAAATAACTACCCTTACATATCAACAGTAATCAACACTCTCAACCAATGGCACTTATAGCAATTAAAGGCCACTAATAAAAGTAATAACACAGAAAACATTTGATTTCTACTTTTCGTCAAAGTTACGGCAGGTCGAGGCGGGTTTGAGGGAATGGATTATGTAGGGTTGGGGGGGGGGGGGGGGGGGGATTCTGTCCTTTGCTTTTTGTCCGGGAACTGTTCGCATCTCCTTGTTAACATTCCTCAATACCCGCTCACAACACGGGCAACAGGTTTTATAACAATGGACACCGTGATTTCAGTAATAAATTTTGAGCTGTTCAATGGATACGATTTGTTTAAGAAATTACAAGTATATTAAACTTAAAATTTTTTAATAGACCAATGAATAATCTTACCGACACAATCCTGATCTTGCTCTATTCCCCGTCACAATCTTACCCCGTCAGTTTTTACCCCCCCCCCCCCCCCACTCACCTCCCCCTAACGGCTCTAACGTCTCCCCTAGGCTGTCGGCTGTGATGGAATCGTCATGTCGTCGGCCTACAAGGACAAGTGCGGGGTGTGTGAGGGCGACGGCACCAGCTGCAGCACCATCTCTGGCATCTTCACCAGCACGGAGCTCAAGCGTGGACTCAACTACGTCATCAGCATCCCCACCGGAAGTACGAACATCAACATCACGGAGCTGCAGGGCAGTCGGAACACTCTAGGTAAACCTGGCATATAGGGCAGTATAATCACTCTAAACATGGCATATAGGGCAGTATAATCACTCTAAACATGGCATATAGGACAGTATAATCACTCTAAATATGGCATATAGGGCAGTATAATTACACTAAACCTGGCATATAGGGCAGTATAATTACACTAAACCTGGCATATAGGGCAGTATAATTACACTAAACCTGGCATATAGGGCAGTATAATCACTCTAAACCTGGAATATAGGGCAGTATAATTACACTAAACCTGGCATATAGGGCAGTATAATTACACTAAACCTGGCATATAGGGCAGTATAATTATACTAAACCTGGCATATAGGGCAGTATAATTACACTAAACCTGGCATATAGGGCAGTATAATTACACTAAACCTGGCATATAGGGCAGTATAATTACACTAAACCTGGCATATAGGGCAGTATAATTATACTAAACCTGGCATATAGGGCAGTATAATTACACTAAACCTGGCATATAGGGCAGTATAATTACACTAAACCTGGCATATATGGCAGTATAACTACACTAAACCTGGCATATAGGGCAGTATAATTACACTAAACCTGGCATATAGGGCAGTATAAGCACACTAAACCTGGCATATAGGGCAGTATAACCACTCTAAACCTGGCATATAGGGCAGTATAATCTCTCTAAACCTGGCATATAGGGCGGTATAATCTCTCTAAACCTGGCATATAGGGCAGTATAATCTCTCTAAACCTGGCATATAGGGCAGTATAATCTCTCTAAACCTGGCATATAGGGCAGTATAATCTCTCTAAACCTGGCATATAGGGCAGTATAATCTCTCTAAACCTGGCATATAGGGCAGTATAATCTCTCTAAACCTGGCATATAGGGCAGTATAATCTCTCTAAACCTGGCATATAGGGCAGTATAATCTCTCTAAACCTGGCATATAGGGCAGTATAATCTCTCTAAACCTGGCATATAGGGCAGTATAATCTCTCTAAACCTGGCATATAGGGCAGTATAATCTCTCTAAACCTGGCATATAGGGCAGTATAATCTCTCTAAACCTGGCATATAGGGCAGTATAATCTCTCTAAACCTGGCATATAGAGCAGTATGATCTCTCTAAACCTGGCATATAGGGCAGTATAATCTCTCTAAACCTGGCATATAGGGCAGTATAATCTCTCTAAACCTGGCATATAGAGCAGTATGATCTCTCTAAACCTGGCATATAGGGCAGTATAATCTCTCTAAACCTGGCATATAGGGCAGTATAATCTCTCTAAACCTGGCATATAGAGCAGTATGATCTCTCTAAACCTGGCATATAGGGCAGTATAATCTCTCTAAACCTGGCATATAGGGCAGTATAATCTCTCTAAACCTGGCATATAGGGCAGTATAATCTCTCTAAACCTGGCATATAGAGCAGTATGATCTCTCTAAACATGGCATACCGGACAGTATAATCACTCTAAACCTGGCAACATAATCACTCCAGAAAAACCTGGCATATAAGGCAGTATAATCACCTAGGTAAATCTGCAAATAGATTTTTAACGTCCAAAATAAACTAAAAAATTGGATGGAAAAAAATCTCATTCAGAAAAAAAATTATTTAAGGGGAAAAAATATAAAAAGAAAGCAAATGGACTAAATGCACTAAACAGAAAAACGAAATAAAATGTAAAAAAAAAAACACGAACTAAAATGTAACAAAAATAAAACCAACTCAAATGTACCAATAATAAAACCAACTCCAATGTAACAAACAGTTTTGCAGACTGAAGATGGGACAATGATCATCAATGGCGGCTCAGGGAACACGAATACCGGTGACGTCATAGCTGCCGGAAGCGTCTTCTTGTACGGTGCCAAGAGTCACACGAAACCGATGGAGAGCATTCTCTCCCCTGGCCCAACCAACACAACACTGATACTTCAGGTAAATACTGATACCTCAGGTAAACAATGATACTCCAGGTAAACAATGATACTTCAGGTAAACATTGATACTCCAGGTAAACAATGATACTCCAGGTAAACAATGATACTTCAGGTAAACATTGATACTTCAGGTAAACGATGATACTCCAGGTAAACATTGACACTCCAGGTAAAAATTGGCACCCCAGGTAAACATTGATACTTCAGGTAAACACTGATACTTCAGGTAAACATTGATACTTCAGGTAAACATTGATACTTCAGGTAAACATTGATATCTCAAGTAAACATTGATACTTCAGGTAAACATTGATACTTCAGGTAAACATTGATACTTCAGGTAAACACTGATACTTCAGGTAAACATTGATACTTCAGGTAAACATTGATATCTCAAGTAAACATTGATACTTCAGGTAAACATTGATACTTCAGGTAAACACTGATACCTCAGTAAAAACTGATACCTCAGGTTTCAGGTAAACATTGATATCTCAAGTAAACATTGATACTTCAGGTAAACATTGATACTTCAGGTAAACATTGATATCTCAAGTAAACATTGATACTTCAGGTAAACATTGATACTTCAGGTAAACATTGATACTTCAGGTAAACATTGATACTTCAGGTAAACATTACTACTCCAGGTAAACATTGATACTTCAGGTAAACACTGATACCTCAGTAAAAACTGATACCTCAGGTTTCAGGTAAACATTGATATCTCAAGTAAACATTGATACTTCAGGTAAACATTGATATCTCAAGTAAACATTACTACTTCAGGTAAACATTGATATCTCAAGTAAACATTGATACTTCAGGTAAACATTGATACTTCAGGTAAACATTGATACTTCAGGTAAACATTGATATCTCAAGTAAACATTGATACTTCAGGTAAACATTGATACTTCAGGTAAACATTGATACTTCAGGTAAACATTGATATCTCAAGTAAACATTGATACTTCAGGTAAACATTGATACTTCAGGTAAACATTGATATCTCAAGTAAACATTGATACTTCAGGTAAACATTGATATCTCAAGTAAACATTGATACTTCAGGTAAACATTGATACTTCAGGTAAACACTGATAATTCAGGTAAACATTGATACTTCAAGTAAACATTGATACTTCAGGTAAACACTGATAATTCAGGTAAACATTGATACTTCAGGTAAACATTGATACTTCAGGTAAACATTGATACTTCAGGTAAACACTGATAATTCAGGTAAACATTGATACTTCAGGTAAACACTGATAATTCAGGTAAACATTGATACTTCAGGTAAACATTGATACTTCAGGTAAACACTGATACTTCAGGTAAACATTGATACTTCAGGTAAACATTGATACTTCAGGTAAACACTGATAATTCAGGTAAACATTGATACTTCAGGTAAACACTGATAATTCAGGTAAACATTGATACTTCAGGTAAACACTGATAATTCAGGTAAACAATGATACTTCAGGTAAACAATGATACTCCAGGTAAACAATGATAGTTCAGGTAAACAATGATACTTCAGGTAAACATTGATACTTCAGGTAAACGATGATACTCCAGGTAAGCAATGATACTTCAGGTAAACATTGATATCTCAAGTAAACATTACTACTCCAGGTAAACATTGATACTTCAGGTAAACACTGATACCTCAGGTTTCAGGTAAACATTGATATCTCAAGTAAACAATGATACTTCAGGTAAACAAAGCATGCTTCAGGTAAGTTGCAGGTGTAACCGTTTTTCTAGCAGTTTCTGCAGCCTGATAGAAGGAATGGCAAATTTACGTAAACAGTTCAACACGACTGTAAATGTACGAAACAATATCAGATGATGTTGTGAGTTGGTGAACTCAAATGTAAACAGAAAACAAACTTAGGTGGCAAGTGTTGAGTTGATCTTGTTTTATAGGACAAGTTACGTAGGACATGTTTTATAGGACAAGTTAGGTAGGACATGTTTTATAGGACAAGTTAGGTAGAACATGTTTTTAGGACAAGTTAGGTAGGACATGTTTTATAGGACATGTTAGGTAGGACATGTTTTATAGGACAAGTTAGGTAGGACATGTTTTATAGGACAAATTAGGTAGGACATGGTTTATAGGACAAGTTAGGCAGGACACATTTTATAGGACATGTTAGGTAGGACATGTTTTATAGGACATGTTAGGTAGGACATGTTTTATAGGACATGTTTGGTAGGACATGTTTTATAGGACATGTTAGGTAGGACATGTTTTATAGGACATGTTTGGTAGGACATGCTTTATAGGACAGGTTAGGTAGGACATGTTAGGTGGGACATGTTTTATAGGACAAGTTAGGTAGGACATGTTTTTAGGACAAGTTATGTACAGTGTTTCTTCCAGACTTTTTTCTCCGGGGGGGGGGCACTTGAAATTTTCGAGGAGGGGGGGCGGTAGACTTTCTTCGGGGGGGGGGGGGGCGGACACTGTTAAAAGTATATATTTTCTATATAAATTATATACATTTCATTTCGTTCGGTTATGTAGGACATGTTTTCTTGAGGCATGCTAGGTAGGTAGAGCTTTGCTAAACATGTGCTTAAAGGACATTAATTCATCATTTATTAGGCAGGATTTACTTGGTAGCTTATATTAAGTAGAGCACGTTAGGTTGTGCACATTAGGTAGCATATGTACTGTATGTTGTGCAAGGTAGGACATTTAAAATAGGACATGCCTGGTACTACATACTAATGTAGGACTTATTGACCAGGAGATGCTAGGTAGGACTGATTAGGTAGGACATGTTTGTAAGTACATTTTAAGGAGGACATGCTTGTACTGAAGTACTGTGTAGGTAGGACATGTTAGTAAGTACACTTTAGGTAGGGCATATTCTATAGGATTTTTTACCTAGACATTGTATGTGGCGGATGTGGTAACCAGCACTGTTTTGACATCAACACTTCGACTTCATGCCAAGTCGGTTATACGTTTGGTTAATTGTATGGGTTCATATGGTATATGACACGTGTTATGTTATGTATTACACATTCATATTTTGACATATCAGATGGGAAACACAAAGTTTACCTTGTGCACCTTCTGTATGTGTATGACATATGTTGTGCCACACTGTTAGGTTGGAATGACTATACAACAAACTTGCATGAACAACAGTAACACAACAATAAGTCGAGCCAGACTTCAGTCGACTGCCATATAAACCGGGGAGATTTTAAATATGGGAAATTAAAGTGTTATTAAACTAATTGTAAAACTCCGATAAGGTTTCGTTATTTATTAGGATGAATTTTTTGTCTAATCTCATGGAAAATAAATAACACCACGTAAATATAAGCTATTTTTTAAAAAAACTAAATCTTATACGTTATTCAAGGGACATAATCGATTTTCATTCACGAGTATACAATTTTATGGATTATCCTTCTTTGAATATGTGAAAAAAAAGCTGATTTTAATTTTTTTTTATTTTTTAAATTTAATTTTTTTTTTTTTTTACAAAGAAATGATAATATCAATGTTATAAAAAGATGTTCTTTAAAAATGTTGTCTTTTGAATGTATCTGTTTCCACCAATGTGTGACTCTACCCAAAAGCTTTCCACCAATCTTCTCCAGCTGATGCTGAAGGACTACAACCCTGGAATTTTCTACACCTTCAACGTCCCCAACAACATCAGCGACACGGTGCTCAGGCAGATCAAACACAGGCAGCAGCCCATCCAGGTCTCGCCAGACTCCAGCCTCAACCTGGAGTCTCGTTCTGGTGGTTCCAGTCTGCACCCCCGGCCCGTCACCCACGGGAACATGACGGCACGGAACTACAACACGACGGACGATGTTTCATTCTTGGAGGAATCTGATGCCAACGTGACGAATAATTCTTCAAGACAGTCTTGGCCGAATCCTGAGAACGGGACGTCTAGTGAGGCCAACAGTGTGGTCAAGCCATTTGTACAAGGCCAGGACAGCGGTGAACCTTCCAAGGTTTTGGCTGACCGACAGTACCAGGACAGTGCTGAGAGTCGTGTCCGGGTGCCAGCCGTCGCTGCCAGAGCCGGACGGTACCATATCCCCAGGTACTCGCAGAGTTTTAACTTCAACTTTACCGCGCCACGGCTGCGGCCCCAGCGCCGGTACCAGAACAGTTCTCAGCCACACGCCACACGGCAAACAGCGCCGCAGCTGATCCGGGAAGAGAGGCCGCGTCAGTCCCTGACCTTAAGCCGGCAGGAAGCACGTGACCCCCAGACCTTGGGGGATTCGGCTCACGCGGACACACGTGACAAGACGAGCTCGCGCTACAGGGAGTTCTCGGCTGCAGGGGAGACGTCCAGCAGAGGGGAGATGACCAGTGCTTTAGAGTCCAGCCATAACGCGGACAGCGAACGTCGCAGACAGCTGAAGGAGAGGCAGGAGGTCGAGCGACAGCGCCGACTGCGAGAACGTCAGCTGCAGCTGGAGGCCAGACAGCGACGCAGGGACGAGCAGACCCGGCGCTACAACGAACGTCTGCGTGAGCACAACGAGAGGATCCGCCGCATTGAGGCTGAGCGCGAGGCCGCACGTGAAGCTGCGCGGAGGAAAGCGCAGCAACACAGCCAGGCCGTCAACCAACCAGGCGAGACGTCAGCACGCAGGACTGAGACAAGTCAGACACATAACGTTGTTGTCGCTGAGGATGGCGTGGCTGCCACACCACGGCCTGACCAGTACCCTTACAACAGTCGTTACGCCAACACTGAGGACAATGGCCAGACAGGGCATGACCCAGCCAGCAGCAGATTGGGCGAGGGGAGTTCGCGACCCGATCGTACCGGAAGTGAGAGTTTAAACCACCGTCACCAGGAACTTGTGGGTAACCAGGAGCGTCACGTGGTCAGGGTCATCCAGCGGCCCGTGGCCCAGGGGCCGCGTTACATTCCAGTGGAGCCGTCACCGCCCCTGTCCGCACTGACTGGCAATGGTGCTGAGAGTGATAGTCCCACCAGCACCATAGCACTGGACAAGGAACCCTCGAACCCCATCCCGCCTGGGTATCTGCAGAGCGTCAACGACCTGATCCCGAACAACGTCTTACCCAATCAAATCAATTACTTTGGTGGCGGCCACGAGCATGTTGCACTCAGCTCGGCTTATGAGTGGCGGATATCCGGTCTGACAGAATGTACTCACACGTGTGGGGGAGGTAGGTGTTATATGTGGGGAGGTAGGTGTTATATGTGGGGGAGGTAGTTGTTATATGTGGGGGAGGTAGGTGTTATCTGTGGGGGAGGTAGGTGTTATATGTGGGGGAGGTAGGTGTTATCTGTGGGGGAGGTAGGTGTTATATGTGGGGGAGGTAGTTGTTATCTGTGGGGGAAGTAGTTTTCTATTGATTTATCTGTGTGTGTGTGTGTGTATGTATATATATATAGACAAATACTGTATGTAAAGTATCAAAATTATAAATCAAACGAGTACTTAACACTTTCTGTCTGTTAAATTTAATTTCTGATTTAATTAATGTTTTTTAAAGTCGAAGTGTTCAACATGTAGAAGACAATTTTTAAGTATTTGTGAATAATCCCCCTCCCTCCCCCCCCCCCTCCCCCATGTGACTTCAGGCATCCAACAAACGGTCGTCGTGTGTATCGATATCAAGTCCCAAGCTGTGGTGACGGACGAAAACTGCCGGACACTGACCAAACCCAAGAACCTTGCTGTACCATGCAACAAGAGGCCTTGTCCGTCAGAGTAAGTTGTGCTCATCTGTCAAACGTCACACGGCTCATCTGTCAAACGTCACACGGCTCATCTGTCAAACATCACACGGCTTATCTGTCAAACATCACACGGCTCATCTGTCAAACATCACACGGCTTATCTGTCAAACATCACACGGCGTATCTGTCAAACATCACACGGCTCATCTGTCAAACATCACACGGCTTATCTGTCAAACATCACACGGCTCATCTGTCAAACATTGCACGGCTCATCTGTCAAACGTCACGCGGCTCATCTGTCAAACATTGCACGGCTCATCTGTCAAACATTGCACGGCTCATCTGTCAAACGTCACGCGGCTCATCTGTCAAACGTAGCACGTGCCGTGTGAGCAAGTTTCTCGCCTACATGTGCGAGACATGACGTTAATGCCCAACTTTCTGTTTGTTGTCATCGATTGCTTCATTTGTTTTCTTACCTCGTGTGTATACTAGCTCTTGTTCTGTTTGTATTCAAGTGATTGTGTTCAAATGTTTGTGTTCAAGTGTTTGTGTTTAAGTGTTTGTATTCAAGTGATTGTGCTCAAGTCATTGTGTCCACGTGATTATGTAAACGTGATTGTGTTCAAGTGATTGTGTTCAAGTGTTTGTGTTCAGGTGATGTGTTCAAGTGTTTGTGTTCAAGTGATTATGTTCAAGTGTTTGTGTTCAAGAGATTGTGTTCAAGTGTTTGTGTTCAAGTGATTGTGTTCAAGTGATGTGTTCAAGTGTTTTTGTTCAAGTGTGTGTGTGTGTGTTCAGTTGTTTGTGTTCAAGTGATTGTGTTCAAGTGATGTGTTCAAGTGTTTGTGTTCAAGTGTGTGTGTGTTCAGTTGTTTGTGTTCGCCAGCTGGTGTTTACTCTGCACCAGTCCCTGACACTATTGACCTTTGACCCCCAGGTGGACACCGGGTCACTGGACGACCTGCACGGTGACCTGCGGTCAAGGCGTCCAGACCAGGATCATCACGTGCCAGGCCCGCGTGTCCCCCACCCTCAACGTCACGATGCCAGACGCGAACTGCGAGAGTCAGGTGAAGCCAGTCAACCGTCAGACGTGTAACGACAACCCGTGTAGTATCTGGCGGACTGGGGACTGGACCAGTGTAAGTCATCATGGTGGGGGGGGGGAGGGGGAACTGGACAAGTGTAAGTTATCATGGGGGGGGGGGGATGGGGACTGGACCAGTGTAAGTTATCGTGGGGGGGGGGGATTGGGACTGGACCAGTGTAAGTTATCGTGAGGGGGGGGGAGGGGGAACTGGACAAGTGTAAGTTATCATGGGGGGGGGGGGATGGGGACTGGACCAGTGTAAGTTATCGTGGGGGGGGGGGGGATTGGGACTGGACCAGTGTAAGTTATCGTGGGGGGAGGGGGGGGACTGGACCAGTGTAAGTTATCGTGGGGGGAGGGGGGGGGGGCTGGACAAGTGTAAGTTATCGTGGGGGGGGGGGAGGGGGGGGGACTGGACCAGTGTAAGTTATCGTGGGGGGAGGGGGGGGGGACTGGACCAGTGTAAGTTATCGTGGGGGGAGGGGGAAGGACTGGACCAGTGTAAGTTATCATGGGGGGGGGGATGGGGACTGGACCAGTGTAAGTTATCGTGGGGGGAGGGGGGGACTGGACCAGTGTAAGTTATCGTGGGGGGAGGGGGGGGGGGGCTGGACAAGTGTAAGTTATCGTGGGGGGGGGGAGGGGGGGGGACTGGACCAGTGTAAGTTATCGTGGGGGGAGGGGGGGGGGGACTGGACCAGTGTAAGTTATCGTGGGGGGAGGGGGGGGACTGGACCAGTGTAAGTTATCGTGGGGGGAGGGGGGGGGCTGGACAAGTGTAAGTTATCGTGGGAGGGGAGGGGGGGGGACTGGACCAGTGTAAGTTATCGTGGGGGGAGGGGGGGGGACTGGACCAGTGTAAGTTATCGTGGGGGGGGAGGGGGGGGGACTGGACCAGTGTAAGTCATCGTGGGGGGAGAGGGGACTGGACCAGTGTAAGTTATCGTGGGGGGAGGGGGGGGGCTGGACAAGTGTAAGTTATCGTGGGGGGGGAGGGGGGGACTGGACAAGTGTAAGTTATCGTGGGGGGGGGGAGGGGGGGGGGACTGGACCAGTGTAAGTCATCGTGGGGGGAGAGGGGACTGGACCAGTGTAAGTTATCGTGGGGGGAGGGGGGGGGCTGGACAAGTGTAAGTTATCGTGGGGGGGAGGGGGGGACTGGACCAGTGTAAGTTATCGTGGGGGGAGGGGGGGGGACTGGACCAGTGTAAGTTATCGTGGGGGGAGGGGGGGACTGGACCAGTGTAAGTTATCGTGGGGGGAGGGGGGGGACTGGACCAGTGTAAGTTATCGTGGGGGGAGGGGGGGGGGGCTGGACAAGTGTAAGTTATCGTGGGGGGGAGGGGGGGGGGACTGGACCAGTGTAAGTTATCGTGGGGGGAGGGGGGGGGACTGGACCAGTGTAAGTTATCGTGGGGGGGAGGGGGGGACTGGACCAGTGTAAGTTATCGTGGGGGGAGGGGGGGGGACTGGACCAGTGTAAGTTATCGTGGGGGGAGGGGGGGACTGGACCAGTGTAAGTTATCGTGGGGGGAGGGGGGGGACTGGACCAGTGTAAGTTATCGTGGGGGGAGGGGGGGGGGCTGGACAAGTGTAAGTTATCGTGGGGGGGAGGGGGGGGGGACTGGACCAGTGTAAGTTATCGTGGGGGGAGGGGGGGGGGACTGGACCAGTGTAAGTTATCGTGGGGGGGGAGGGGGGGGGACTGGACCAGTGTAAGTCATCGTGGGGGGAGAGGGGACTGGACCAGTGTAAGTTATCGTGGGGGGAGGGGGGGGGGGGCTGGACAAGTGTAAGTTATCGTGGGGGGGGAGGGGGGGACTGGACAAGTGTAAGTTATCGTGGGGGGGGGGAGGGGGGGGGGACTGGACCAGTGTAAGTCATCGTGGGGGGAGAGGGGACTGGACCAGTGTAAGTTATCGTGGGGGGAGGGGGGGGGGGGGCTGGACAAGTGTAAGTTATCGTGGGGGGGAGGGGGGGACTGGACAAGTGTAAGTTATCGTGGGGGGAACGGGGACTGGACCAGTGTAAGTCATCGTGGGGGGGGGAGGGGGGACTGGACCAGTGTAAGTTATCGTGGGGGGAGGGGGGGACTGGACCAGTGTAAGTCATCGTGGGGGGGGGACGGAGGGGGGACTGGACCAGTGTAAGTTATCGTGGGGTGGAGGGGGGAGAGGGGGGGGACTGGACAAGTGTAAGTCATCGTGGGGGGGAGGAGGGACTGGGTGTCATCATGGGGGTGGAGGGGGGGACCAGTGTAAGTCATCGTGGGGGGGGGGACTGGGGACTGGACCAGTGTAAGTTATCGAGGGGTGAGGGAAGGGGGGGGGGGACTGGACCAGTGTAAGTTATTGTTTTGGGGGGGGAGGGGGGACCAGTGTAAGTCATCATGGGGGGGGGGGAGGGGGGAACTGCATCGGTGTAAGTCATCATGGGGGAACTGGTGGGGGGACTGGACCAGTGTAAGTCATCGAGGGGGGAGGGGGGATTGCACCAGTGTAAGTCATCGAGGGGGGAGGGGGGACTGCACCAGTGTAAGTCATCATGGGGGAAGGGGGGGGGGACTTGACTAGTGTAAGTTATCGGGTTTGGGGAGGGTGGGAATGGACCCGTTTAATTCATCGTGTGGGGTGGGGGGAGGGGGGACCAGTGTGTCATAAATTGTGAAGAGGGGGGCTGCACTATGATGATGTTAAGACAAATTGAATGCCATCATCATATTAAATGTCATTCCCCATTAAATTAATGTCATCCCCAGTGTTCAGCAGGCTGTGGGGTTGGCCAGAGGACCCGTACGGTGGAGTGTGTGGACACGACAGGCAAGCCGCAGCCAGACAACCTCTGCACGGAGCCCAAGCCGGCTGAGGAGGACAAGTGTCACCTGGCCGAGTGTGGGAAGGGCTGGTACTTCACCGAGTGGCCGGAGGAGGTAGGTCAGCAGCTCGAGGTCGTCTATGGTCTTAGAAGTCTTATAATACTAGCATGCCTGGGAGGGTTCTCGTGGTCTTTGCACTTCATCAGACATGGGTTTCCTATAATAGGCAGATGGCTTTTTGTTTCTCCCTTAGATATATTTGACCGGAATCTTTGAGTTGTGTTTGCATTAATTAATTCTTGTTGAATTTAAAACTGATTTTTTTTTTAAATTGTTTTTAAATACATACTCTAATGAAACTCCTACCCCAACTGTTTCAGCATCCTATAGAGTGTGATGACTCTTCTCTCTAAACTGTTTCTGTGTCCTGTATAGTTGATGACTCTTCTATCTAAACTGTTTCAGCCTTCTGTATAGTTGATGACTCTTCTCTCTAACCTGTTTCAGTGTCCTGTATAGTTGATGACTCTTCTCTCTAAATCGTTTAAGTGTCCTATAAGTTTGCTGACTCTTCTCTCTAAACTGTTTCAGTGTCCTGTAGAGTGTGCTGACTCTTCTCTCTAAACTGTTTCAGTGTCCTGTAGAGTGTGGAGTCGGCACCGTCTCCCGGAGAACGTTCTGCGCTGACGATGCCGGAAATGCCCTGCCAGACGCTCGTTGTGACAACGTGCACAGACCAGCTGTCAACAAATCTTGTCGAGCTAGCAAACCATGTGGCGGCATTTGGTTCACTGGACAGTGGTCAAAGGTAGGCGGGTGTGGGCAGTGGTCAAAGGTAGGCGGGTGTCTGGGTGTGGACAGTGGTCAAAGGTAGGCGGGTGTCTGGGTGTGGACAGTGGTCAAAGGTAGGCGTGTCTGGGTGTGGACAGTGGTCAAAGGTAGGCGTGTCTGGATAGTGGTCAAAGGTAGGCGAGTCTGGGTGTGGACAGTGGTCAAAGGTAGGCGTGTCTGGGTGTGGACAGTGGTCAAAGGTAGGCGTGTCTGGGTGTGGACAGTGGTCAAAGGTAGGCGTGCCTGGGTGTGGACAGTGGTCAAAGGTAGGCGTGTCTGGATAGTGGTCAAAGGTAGGCGTGTCTGGGTGTATACAGGGGTCAAAGGTAGGCATGTCTGGATAGTGGTCAAAGGTAGGCGTGTCTGGGTGTATTCAGGGGTCAAAGGTAGGCGTGTCTGGGTGTGGACAGTGGTCAAAGGTAGGCGTGTCTGGGTGTGGACAGTGGTCAAAGGTAGGCGTGTCTGGGTGTGACCAATGGTCAAAGGTAGGCGTGTCTGGGTGTGGACAGTGGTCAAATGTGGGCGTGTCTGGGTGTGGACAGTGGTCAAAGGTAGGCGTGTCTGGGTGTGGGCAGTGGTCAAATGTAGGCGTGTCTGGATGTGGACAGTGGTCAAAGGTGGGCGTGTCTGGGTGTGGACAGTGGTCAAATGTAGGCGTGTCTGGGTGTGGACAGTGGTCAAATGTAGGCGTGTCTGGATGTGGACAGTGGTCAAAGGTGGGCGTGTCTGGGTGTTGAAATCATATTCGTACTAAGGGATAGTGTAAACCTGGTCACATGACAGTGGTCAAAAGTAGGGTTTGTAATTGGGAGTTGATTCCTGCTTGTATCGTTACCTTAACTAACATTCACGTGTGAGTTGTTTGCTTCCATGTATCACTTCCGTCTGTATGACGTCATGCTGTATCTGCATCTTTGTCTGTCAACAGTGCAACACGACGTGCGGCAACGGACACAAGAAGCGCGACGTTCTGTGTATCAAGTCTCTCCCTGGGGGTGTCTTCGCTGTGGTAGGGGAAGAAAACTGTGACGTCACCGTTAAGCCTGCCGGGACAGAGTTGTGCCAGGGGCCTGAGTGTGGTTCTCTGTGGTACATGACGTCATGGGGACAGGTAAATAAGGCCGAGAGAATTCTGAGTGCAAGATATATATATATATATATATATATATATATATATATATATATATATATATATATATATATATATAATATTTATACTCTCAACCCCAGTGCTCTCAAAGTTGTGAAACTGGATACCGTACTAGAGAAACCAAATGTCTTGACGCCGAGCAGAAGCCGAGTGACCAGTGTCCACTACAGAGCCGTCCCAGGACCAGAGATCCCTGCAACACACAGCCCTGTACCAGTACAGCGACCCCTAGTGCCGTCAATGGTACGGTCACTGAAGGTGAGATATACGGTGAGAGGGGTCCAGTCTTGGTGAGAGGGGACCAATCTTGTAGGTGCTGGTCTCTTCCGTTCAAGGGTTTTTGTGGGGAATGGGGGTTGAGAGGGGCGATTGACGTTCTTAGGGTGGGGCGGGGGGGGGGGGGTGGTGTAGGCGGGACTACACTCAGGAAGAACGTCCATCTAATATATTTATATTTTATTTTAGAAAAATATTTCGTGAATAAGTACTTGCACAATGTGGAGTTAGTTGTAGAAACAATTGTTTCTAATGTATGACAATGTGTCTCTGTCAGATGCTATTTGCGAAGACAAGCTCACTAACTGTAACGTTGTGAAGAAAGCGCCACGTGTCTGCAGTACCGCGTACTACAAGAAGAGATGTTGTCGGTCATGCGCAGTCCACTCATGAGAGGAAGTGTGAACAGAAGTTGCTGTAGTTCTCATAGACTCTACGTCACTTGATTTGAGTGAAAGGATGGGACATTTTTTTATACATGTATTGGACGAATTTATTTTAGGACATGTTATGACTATTAATTAGAGATAGTCTTGTGTATATTGAGTATTAGATCTGACCAGAGCGTATTTTTTAGAAAGCATGACGGTCAGTTTATTCAGTACTACTGTACGACAGATGGTCTTCTACAGACCACTGGGTGGTAGTCGTGGTCAGTTTATATGTTGATGATAATAAGACAGGTAGTATGTTTGTATACTGAAACATTGCATTTTTTATGACGAATATGTACATTTTATTTATTGCTTGCAAAGTATGTTCAAATTATTTGATTTTTTTTTTTAATATGCCAGTACAGTTGTAAATGCTGTAGTTTTTGTTGATGTTCCCTGTTGTATGCAACATTTGTCTAGACAATCTGGTGAAATGTAGTCTTTACATGGGTTATGCTTTGATGCCGATTTTTATGCTATTATTTGTATGTTATACACAGGGCTTTGATCATTTTAAAATGTTGCTGCATGTGTTGCTTTTTGTTGAGAATCTGAGCTATTGCATAGTGCTACTTCATATCAACAATCTCGACTAGTGCACTGTATACAGTGGGGGTGGGGGTAACCATTCTTGTTGAATGTTGTTCAAAACACAAGCAACTCGCCTCGTTTTAAGAACAGGATGATTGTTAGATTGTTGGATTAAATCATTGCTTCTCACTTGAGTGGAATATAAACTGTTGGCCCAGTGGCGGGACTAGAGTGACTCTAAAACTGTTGGCCCAGTGGCGGGACTAGAGTGACACTAAAACTGTTGGCCCAGTGGCGGGACTAGAGTGACACTAAAACTGTTGGCCAAGTGGCGGGACTAGAGTGACTCTAAAACTGTTGGCGGGACTAGAGTGACTCTAAAACTGTTGGCCCAGTGGCTCTAAAACTGTTGGCCCAGTGGCGGGACTAGAGTGACACTAAAACTGTTGGCCAAGTGGCGGGACTAGAGTGACACTAAAACTGTTGGCCCAGTGGCGGGACTAGAGTGGCTCTAAAACTGTTGGCCCAGTGGCGGGACTAGAGTGACACTAAAACTGTTGGCCCAGTGGCGGGACTAGAGTGACACTAAAACTGTTGGCCAAGTGGCGGGACTAGAGTGACACTAAAACTGTTGGCCCAGTGGCGGGACTAGAGTGACACTAAAACTGTTGGCCCAGTGGCGGGACTAGAGTGACTCTAAAACTGTTGGCCCAGTGACTCTAAAACTGTTGGCCCAGTGACTCTAAAACTGTTGGCCCAGTGGCGGGACTAGAGTGACACTAAAACTGTTGGCCCAGTGGCGGGACTAGAGTGACACTAAAACTGTTGGCCAAGTGGCGGGACTAGAGTGACACTAAAACTGTTGGCCCAGTGACTCTAAAACTGTTGGCCCAGTGACTCTAAAACTGTTGGCCCAGTGGCGGGACTAGAGTGACACTAAAACTGTTGGCCCAGTGGCGGGACTAGAGTGACTCTAAAACTGTTGGCCCAGTGGCGGGACTAGAGTGACACTAAAACTGTTGGCCAAGTGGCGGGACTAGAGTGACACTAAAACTGTTGGCCCAGTGGCGGGACTAGAGTGACACTAAAACTGTTGGCCAAGTGGCGGGACTAGAGTGACACTAAAACTGTTGGCCCAGTGACTCTAAAACTGTTGGCCCAGTGACTCTAAAACTGTTGGCCCAGTGGCGGGACTAGAGTGACACTAAAACTGTTGGCCCAGTGGCGGGACTAGAGTGACACTAAAACTGTTGGCCAAGTGGCGGGACTAGAGTGACACTAAAACTGTTGGCCCAGTGACTCTAAAACTGTTGGCCCAGTGACTCTAAAACTGTTGGCCCAGTGGCGGGACTAGAGTGACACTAAAACTGTTGGCCCAGTGGCGGGACTAGAGTGACTCTAAAACTGTTGGCCCAGTGGCGGGACTAGAGTGACTCTAAAACTGTTGGCCTAGTGACTCTAAAGCCGTTGGCCCAGTGGTGGGACTAGAGTAACACCAAAAACCCAAACACTAAATGTCTGATTACGGGCCCCGATTCCGTCCATAAGTTTAACACATATTTAACTTCCTGTTTTGTTTATCTACCCATTTGTATCATTTTATTTTATTTTCTCTATCCTACATGATGTGATTTTTGACTCACCTCTCCCGAACGTTTTTGTTGGATCAAAGCATTTGTATGTCCGGTGAAAATTTAAAAACTGGTGAAAAAATTAGATGTTTTGCGTGTTAAAAAACATTTTAAAAATAGTTATATAATGCATAAAAACGTTTTAATAACTAGCTTTTATGTAATAATGAACAGAAGTGATTTTCTTCAAACTTATAATAATGAACTATTATTAATGAATTAAAATAACTAAAAAGACAAGCGTGGGTCGCTAAATTATGTATTGAATACCTTTTCTATAATTCAAAAAGCGATTGGTCCTGGTGAGTTCTACTCAATCGTACCATGGCAACCAAAACAACGATTCGGAACCACGGTGACCTGTCTTTCCTTAAATGACCCAGATTTGACCGAAGCTAGATATATTTTTGACCCAGGTGAGTTGTATTCCGTCGTACCATGATGACTTTAACAACAATAAAGTACCCGCGTGACCTGTCTTGACCTAAATGACCCACTTCTGACCCTAGCTAATCACAGTACTGGCCCAGGTGAGTTGTGTTTAGTCACAACTTGATGAAAACAACAACAATGTTGCACTAAGTTGACCTTTCTTACCTCAAATGGTCCAGATTTGACCCAAAGTGTGTACATTTTGGCCCAGGTGAGTTGTGTTCAGTCATAAAATAACGGCTTTAACAACAACCTTGCACTTGGGTGACCTAATCTGACCTAAATGACCCAGATTTGACCCAAACTAACCACAGTTTTGGTCCTGGAGAGTTCTACTCAGTCGTACCATGACAACTAAAACAACGATTCGGGACCACGGTGACCTGTCTTTACTCATATGACCTAGATCTCACCCTATCTAGGTATTGTCTTGGTTAAGGTGAGTTGTGTTGAGTCGTACCATGACGACCAACGACAACAATGTTACACCCCGGTGACCTGCCTCGGCTGAAATAACCCAGACCTGACACTTTTCGTCGGAGTGGGTTTTTTTTGGACATCTAAAAAATATTTCATGTTATTTATTAGAATTGTAATTTTTTAAAAAATGTAAACCTTTAATATAACAACAATTAATAGTTTATAGTTGGCAGATGTCGCGAGCAATTTATTTGGGTTAAAGATAGGTGTGTCGACTTAAATATGATGGATTAGCTAGAAAAATACTAAAGTAACAGATTGACCTATACTTTATAATTTTCACGCTCGCTAAATAAAATAAATGACTATATATATATATATATATATATATATATATATATATATATATATATATATATATATATATATATATATATATATATATATATATATATATATATATATATATATATATATATTGCTCTGTTTGTGAGGGGCATTACTTTAAAGTTCCGCCACTGTCTAGGTCTTGTCTAGTAAGGTCATGATCTGCCCTTGTATGAAGGTCTCTTATAGATTGATGTAGTCCAGAAGACGTTCATGAGTCCAACTTTAGTATTGTATTTGTGTGTGCCTGTAAGGTACTGGTATCTAAGTAGACCTCTAGCTGTTTTTGTTTACATGATTTTCACGTACTTAAAATGGCTTGGTTAGAGATGGATGCCATAACGCTACATTTTGTTTCAATGGTATGTTAAATAACATGTTGTACAAGATTTATATGATTGTTGAATGCTGTTGTTTCTTAAATTATATTTTTAAGGACTTTTCACAATAGTGAATGACTGAAATCTTAAAATTATAAAGCACAAGCACAAAGTCACCAATTCACAATAACAACACAAAGTCATCAGTTCACAATCACAAAGTCACCAATTCACAGTCACAGCACACACGCCCATGTCTACAAGCACGCACAAATCCATGCTTGCAGCATAGTTTTATGACATGCACCTGCACACAATCTCATGAACCTCAACTATAAAATGTCATGAACTATAGTCAAGCTTGAATTGCCTTTGTTTGCGTAGCTGCTTAGAACAATGTTTTCATAAATTCCTTGTATGCCAAACACGACAACCCACCAAAACTACTTGAAACCAAAGACACACATTGGAGAAATAACTAGCCTGTTTTATTACTCGTGCAATTGTTTTCCCATATAGACATTTGTTTTTCATTTTATTGTAACAAGATCTAGACATGAAATATCAGATAAACTTTCGATATCTGTTTTTTTTTCTTTTTCTAACATTGTGTAACTTGATTTATATTTTGCTTCTTTTTTATACCTTTGATTTGCAGTGAAAAAAAAGATATCGGCAAGGATTGGAACCATGGCCACAGCTTTTGAAACCCGTATACGACAAGTACTGAAACCCTAACCACACACATAAGACAAGTACTGAAACCCTAACCACACACATACGACAAGTACTGAAACCCTAACCACACACATACGACAAGTACTGAAACCCTAACCACACACATACGACAAGTACTGAAACCCTAACCACACACATACGACAAGTACTGAAACCCTAACCACACACATACGACAAGTACTGAAACCCTAACCACACACATGCGACAAGTACTGAAACCCTAACCACACACATACGACAAGTACTGAAACCCTAACCACACACATACGACAAGTACTGAAACCCTAACCACACACTCTTACATTATTGCGGCTAGTGCTGTACTGATGTTGTCAAATAGACAGTTATTTGTTGACAATTCTAGCTGCATTATTTCTGTGTTAGTATGGCCTGTCATGAAATTTTGGAATCCAGTTTTTAAAAGATGGTTCCATGTGTTTTTAAAAGATTGTTCCATGTGTTTTTAAAAGATGGTTCCAAAGATGGTTTTAAAATAAAGCTACTATCATTATTCTTAGGACATATAGTTTTACTATTTAGGGTTCCAGAATCTATACCAATTCATAAGATGCTATTATTTGTACTTTTATTTCATGTTGATCACTTGATAGAAATAAAAATGTTCATGTTACATAGTGCTGTTAACACATTTTCTAGTAGTTTTAAAAACTACTATAACCTGACACCCCCATTTTGAAATCGTCTACTGTCGTATTTATGTGCACAAAGTAGCAACAGAGTGAGGAGAACAAACCATTATAAAAAGATGGAGGGGGGGTGAGGATGAAAGTTCTGGCCGATGTAAAGAAAACAGTTGCCAGGATTTAGTTCGCCGTGTCGTAGAAACACAACTCACACAACCAAAACAATCAAACGGTTACATAACATTTTCTCGTGGCCTGTCCTAGTTACATAACCTGTTATCCTATTACATCATTCAAACTCTGATGATGACATCAAACTGTGACTGGTCACCGAACGTGTCGTCACCTCATTACATAACCTGTTATCCTATTACTTACGTCATTTACCCCCCCCCCCGGTGATGACGTTATACTAACCGTGACCGGTCACCCAACTGGCCTCTCACTCGAGTCATGATGACAACAGGATCTGGGTTGGTGGTTAGGAGGTCGCGGTGGCATCACATGGTCAATAGGTCAGGGTGACCTTACAGTCCAGATACTAGGGCATGTTTTGTTCTTAGCGCCAAGGTCATATAGGATTCATATGGCATATATTGAAGTGTACATGTGGGCTGGGGGGGGGGTTATATATTACTTGATACAGGGCTGTCCATGACTTGATAAAGGGCTGTCCATGACTTGGTACAGGGCTGTATATTGACTTGATATTGAGCTGTACGTAATGCCATACAAAATTGCAGA